GTCGTGGGGGAAAGCCTTGCCGGGGTCAAGCGGAGAGCCAAGGAAGGGGCTCCTCAGGGAGCTTCACAGTGGAACACAGGCCGGGTGTCCCAAGGCAGCCGGCAGTCCCACAGCGGGTACAAAGTGTGGCTGAGGAGCAGCAGATGTCACGAAAAGGAGCTCCAAGAGGAATGACTAGATGCCGACTGAACAAGGAGACGAGAGCCTTGGGTCCTCGTACGGTAAAGGGTCGGCTGGGTTTGTCAGAGCTTCGTGGGGGAAGCTTGCGTAGCACAGACCAACAGGGCTTTAACCCAGGTTTATGTTCCTCCACATTTGCTAGGACAACACTTACAACAGGAGAGGGCTGAGGACTAAGCATGGGAGCCAAAGCTGCAGAGCGTGGAAAGGAAGCGTACCTGGGATCTTTTCTGGGAGTGGCTCAGAAGGAACTTCGGGGAGCTCCAGCTGTTCCTGCAAGAACATTAGAGACAACACGTGAGACAAACCCCACGCACCATGGTTTTGTGCAAGGACAGTCTGGGAAGAGAACAAAGAGAGATTTCACAAACTGACTGCAGGACGGGTGATGGGCTTCAGTACTGCCCGGTAAAGAACATCATGGTTTGGTTGGGTTTTTTAATTGTTAAATGAGACTTAATAGGACCCTGTATTAACTGTGAGTCTCCCCAAATCAGTGCTAGTTGCAGAGCCTCTCCACCTCAGTCTCCACTGGCTGGAAACTTCCTGCAGTGAAGCCGAGCAACACCAGTGTTTGGAAGAGCCAGAGGTGGGCAGGGACGATAACATGCACTGAATTCTGTTATCTGAGCGTGACCCAGGGCTTCCAAGATCTTCATCTGGTGAAGTGGAATAGATATCCAGTAAGAACAGAGATCGGCTGACTGTATCAGACAGCAAATGAAGTACAACCCTTAAAGGCATCCCATTTTTAAATGACTCCCGTGCGTGGAGCGATTAGCTTGATCCTTGATGACACAGGACTTGGGCACAAACTGGTCTGATTGAGATCTCTGGCAGAATCGGGTACGTTATCGAGAGTGAGGGAGAAGATACAGCCTCCCCTATTACAAACAGCTTTCTGAAAGTGTGGACTGAAGATAATTACATCAGGTTAGTCCTACCTGAGTAATAGCGTTTAATTCTTCTAGAATGGCATCTTCATCTTCCTCAGTCAGGCTGCCAGCCAGCAGCTCGTCTATTTGCTGTGAAGGAGAGGAAAAGACATATTCCAGTCAACAACAGCATAGCAGAGGCAGCTCCGTGGCTCACAGCACCGTGTGTGCTCTGGGGGGAGCAACGTAAGCATGGGGTGAAGGGGTACTCAGAAAACGAGCAAAGCCAATTTTTCTGCAGGCAACTCAGATTTAATTCCCTATCCGACCGCCCCTAAAGCAAGGCTGGGGACATAGTGCACGTCAGAGAAACTCTGTACAGCAGGCTGCCTCTGCCCACGCCCACTCACGCACGCAGTCCGTACCCTCTGGTACTCCACAGCATCTTGGGTTTCACCCATTATCCTTTCTACTTCTTCTATTGACATAACCTGAAGAAAAGAGCCAAAAATCCCTGCATGAGCCAGGTCTGCAGGAAGACAGTGACAAACACCCAGGACTCTGCCTCTTCCGAGGCAACGGTGCGCTCAGCTGACCTGCCCACCCGTACCTGGTGCATTTTGTTCAGACAGTCATTGCCTATTTTCAGACCCTCGATGACCTTCATTTCAATCTGGGTGAATTCAATATCCTGGACCTGAAACGGGAAGGAGAGGGGGAAGCATCACAGGCTGTCACACTCCCATTGTTAGCCAGACTCAGTCTGCCGAGATCCCCACAGGAACTGCACGGCGAAATCAGTCAAGAGCCGTTTCTCCAGCGGCTTAAGTCATACCCGTAGCAAGAAACATGCACACAAAAAGCCTGAACGCAGGCAGCTGCAAACACGCACCAACAGCCCTTTAACTGATTTTCTTGCTGGCAGCCTAAGCTGAGGCCGTAGTTTCCACAGCCACCCCAGAACACACACATCCATTTCTACAATCAAGGTACCGAGGCAAGCCCGAGGAAGCTCCAAGCCCGAGGAAGCTCCTACCGCAGCTGTCCGCACCGTGACTGAAGTTTTACTAATTTACAAACCATGTCTTTACTTCAAAACCTGCACTACAGACCAAACTGTACGTGCCGCTTGGTTCTTTCGGGAGGAGTCAGGGCATACGTATGATCCGAGAGCCGCCTGCCCTTCGGACAGAGGACTGAGCCCCCGTTAGGACTTGGCAGTTCAAATACAATTCCACACAATCAAAAGGAAAAAAGGCTCGTACCGAGTGTGCACAGCGGGCCACCGCCGCCTGCAGCGACTGATTCTCACTTACCATTCGCTCCAAGTTGCTGATTTGGTTTTCTGTTTTATCTATAAGTTGCTCTTGGTAACGCTTCTTCTTTAGCAAGAGCATGGCTTTGCTGAAGGAAAACGGAAGGAGGAAAACTCAGCACAGATGAAAGCAAATAAGCCTAAAAGAATCACAGCAAAGCCATATTTGGTTTTGCGCTTTCTCCAAAAGAGGAAAAAAACCCACGTGCAAAGGAAAGGACAGCTCTGAGCCGCTCCTGTGAAGGATGAGCAAATGAACCATAAATTTGCTGCCTGGTACCTGAAAATTCAGGTATATTTGTTGTGAGTTAGGACCTCGCTGGGCCCGTTGTGCCGTGGCGATGCAAACCAAAGTCCTTGCGCAACAGGCTTGGGATGCACGCTCAAAACAAGACGTAGGAGAC